GAGAAAGATCAATAAAAAATACACGGTTAAATTGTGACATCCAATAAAAGCATGTCATTTGTCCTTTTATAATAAATTATATGATTGGTCCCTGTGGTTTACAATATTTATCCCTAATCTACCAACCACCACATATTTAAGACTCTATCTCTCTCACTCTCCTACTTCGCTGGAAGCCACCGTAATTGAAGGAAAACCACCGTCGTCGCCGGAAACAACCACGATCGACGAAAACCACCGCCTCCACCGCCACCATTTATGCTAGAAACCACCATCAACACCATTTTCAATCTCAATAATTCCATAAAAATATACAATCGCAATCACAGTAATTGCAGAAAAAATACGTCATAATAATATCATAAATTTATAAATCTTTTTTCGTTTATGTGAATCTCAATTGTTCTTAGGTTTTCATTTCTATGCAGAAATAAAAACCAAAAATCAAAAAATCAAAAAATCAAAAATGAAATCAACTTTGATTTTTCATGAAATGAAGCCAGAAACCCATAAATTGTTTGTGTATGGGAAGAGTGCGTTTATTAATAGTCCTTCAAAACCCAAACCGAACCTTCAAAATCCGCCATTAAAGCAACACAGAGAGAGTGCATGTCAATAGAATACCCACCATCATCGATAGCAGATGGAGGCTAGAAGGGGAAGAAAAGAGAACAAAAAGAGTGAAAGTGGGTTTCCGAATTCCTATGATGCTTCCTGCAATAGAAAGAGTGGAAATAAGGTCGTTTATTTTGGTTCTTTAATCATCGTACAAACAATAAGATAATGGAAATTGACCTGCTTTCGACCCCTAGATCTTGCAGTAGATATTGATTTTACTCTCTGTGATTTGTTGTTAAAACCCATGGTTTTAATTTCGGTTTTGAAACCCGAAACTAAAGCGAATTTCGACATTCAGTGAAACATCTGAGAGGTTTCTGAGATCTCATAGATCCTCGAATGTTGTCTCCACAAAACGCATGGAGTCTTTGTTTCAACATCTAGTTCACATTCGTCGCCGCCCTTCACTTCCTCCACCAAACCCGACCCAACTGCTAGTCCACCATGACCTAAAACCCGGAAACATTCTGCTAGAACGTCACTTTGTGAGAAAATCAACGATGTAAGGTAGGCGTGACTGGTCCCGACGGGAACAATGGCGGCCAATACCACCACATAACAGCAGCAATAGAGATGTTTTGTAAGAGACGAAGATATTGGGGACGAAGTCAAATATCTGATCATCTGGGGTAATTTTGTTAGAGGCTGCAAAGAGTCGACATTTGATTTTGGCTTAGTTTGATTTGATTTTGGGTTAGGTTTTGTATAAATAGGTTTATAATTTTTATGTTTGGACTAAACACAAAAAATAATCCAAATTATAAGAACTATTCGTGTAAATTAACATGTGTTGCTTTATTATGGGTCCAATATTGGTTGCCTACTTATTCATTTTCTATTGATTTTCTCTCTCTCTCTCTCTCTCTCTCTCTCTTTAT